TCCAGTCGTACTTTCGGAAAATCGTGTCGCATCCGAAATGTTTTGTGAGCCGTGTTTGTCACCGGAACAAGCGGCAACCTGTTTTGCACAATGACAGATGAGTCATCGTGCTCTCGACACTAATGGCCGTGTAATTGAGTGGGGACACCGGGTTCGGCAATGCAGCCGGCACGCCCGTGTCCAATCAGTGTGAAAGCAATGTGCTCAATGACAAAAAAATAAATAAATAAATAAATCATGAGAGGACGGGCGGGACAAATTCTTCGCATCGGTCTCACTGTCCCAGAAGTGTTCTCCTTGATTGGCCTTGGTCGCTCGCAACGATATTGTCATTTCTCACAAGTGGCGCCAAGCCATTTCAGCTGCTCTCCCCCCTGAAGGGAGTTCACGCCATATGCGCATGACAACACCCCGTTGGATAGGCAAGGTGATAAGATTTCTTTTTTTTTTTCCGAGAGTGTCTTTTGTGAGCTGTCTCTCATCAGTCCACTCTTGACAATATGGTGCGACTTTTTATATGGGCCGTGTTATCAGGCGAGCGAACGAGCTCCTGGCTCCCGGTTTTATGCAGTCAGTGTTCGAGATCACTGCGTTTAGATTCGACGCGTTAATCCTTAATGAAGGAGAAATTCATGGCGGCGAGACAGTTTGACAGATGAGCAGCTCTTACTGCTCCCTCAGTGCAGAAGGTTGAGGAGCGGGCCCACTCTCTCTGTCTGCGTTTCTGGTATCCCGCGCAAACGGTAGCCACGCACACCGTGCGGCGCGATCATAGCGCTGATACGCAGGACGGGTAGATTAGTGGCCGTTAATCTGACACTGGATCTGAGGCATCTCGCGCCGCAGTCCTGCCCTCTGCATGCTGTGAAATATTCCAGTCACTCAAGTGTAAAGATGTGCTAACGAGATTATCAGATTAGCCTTCATCTAGGGCACGCCGCAAACTGCTCGGCACGGGCAAAATGGCGACAGACAAACAAACAAACAAAAAAAAAAAGAAAAGAAAAACAAGACAGCTATGCCTGAATTCCTTTGGAATACAACAGTTGACGTTCACAAACCTCAAGCGTAGCTTGAACTCCCATTAGGGTACGGATGAAACGTATCCACATTAAAATTGATAACGTGCACGTTGACGTTTTTAATCACAAATTCATTCAAGTGGTGCACATTCCCTATACCAAGGGTAGCCAACCCGCGGCTCGTGAGCCGCATGCGGCCCTTTGGCTGGTTCAATGCGGCTCCCGGGCTTTCATACGACAAGCGTCGAAAACGCCTCGGCGGTGGCGCTGCCATTCAAACAACGGTGCTAAATACACTGAACTAACTACGTCAGCATATCATCAATCCCATTACTTGATTGACATACAGGGCAACCAGTCAGATGACAACTGAATCACCGGATTGACGTACAGAGCAACCAATCAGAAGACAATTGAATCACCGCTCATGCGCAAACGGTGCTTAGCGCTAAGTGCTAAGCTAGTCAGCTTTTAAGGTAGGGGTGCCCAATACGTCAACCGCGATCGACTTCGGCTCCGGAGCCAGCGAACTGGTCCCAAGTCGAGCGCGAGCGTTGGGAGGAGGAAATAGAGGATGGGGGGATATGTCTGTGTTTCTCGATTTCGTTCGTGTTCAGTGAAGTTCCGGCTCTTGCTCATCTCGATGTCTGTGCGTGCCTGCGTGTGTGTGTGTGTGCGCGCATGCATATGCGCAATGTGGCTCTTTGCAGTAACACAGTAAAAAAAAAAAAATGGCTCTTAGTCTCTGACTGGTTGGCCACCCCTGCCATATACGAAGGCCAATGAATTACACGTCACAATGCCAATTCACAATCATTTCAATAAGCCGTTTCGTCATCGCCTCCCCCAGAAATGCCGTCCTGCGCACGTACCAGAATCAGCCACCGAGAGCAGATTGGGGTCAACCAGGGTTACTCAATAGTCGGCCCCACCCAGCCAGATCCGACCTGCTGGCCGCCTACTTCCGGCCCCGCAAACTGTTCCGACAAGCGAAAATGAGACTTGGCATTTTCATCGGCGTTTGGCCGCAAACCAAACTTGATTTTACACCGCTCAGACGCACACATCAGCATCCCATTTATTGTCTATGAGAGGCTTGCACGCACAAGGTGGCCGCTTGCCATGAGGCAGGCGCTCCTTAATTGATTCCCCCCACCCCCCTCCATCAACGATGCAATTTTGGTCGGGTCAGCACGTGTAGACCAGGAACCGTCTCCATGTCAACAATACACGGCCAGCCTTCCGAGACGGCCCCTAAGTCATTCATTATCAGGAAAAATATGCTCATCTCTTTAAGTATGTGTGACTTTAGCGTTCAATTGTTCATTCGTAATTCAACCGGACCACCTCACGCGGCTTGCGTGTCGGCAACGGTGTCAGGGCAGCTCAAAGCATAGCAACGCAATCCCAATCTGTAGCGTTTATGCACCCACTATAACATTCATTCGGCCGCTCGATAAAAAAGGGTGGTGACGCACAAGTGTTGTTTAAGGGCCTTGTTTGCAATTCTTGTTGAACCAGAATATGTTGTAAGAGCGTTTACACCACGGTAAAAAGTAAGAGTTACCGTTTTGTTACCACTGCCATCTATTTCCACGAGCAAAAGTAGGAAGTTTGTCTTTCAGAATAAGAGAATAGCGGTGGAAATGTTGCTAACTTAACGGAAATACAGTATAAATCAATCTAAGAATTGTAAGTTCACTCGCTTGGCAATTATTATATTTATCGTGCAGTATGTGTTACTTTCTAATCTGTGTTTGTGTTTTCTTTCCTCGCTTAGAAATGTACACACTGGCACACACATACAGGCACTTACTCCAAGGCACACAATTACCAAATTTCCTTTGTGTTCAGACAGTAATTCAGCGTAACCCTCACGATATCGCCATTTGGCTTCATGACCAAATTCTACTTACCGGTAGTTTAATTTATGTCACGGTTTATTTGATGTCAAAATGGAAATGGCATTTTATTGTCACTTGTATTTTGTTTTTAATAAAAAGGACATTTCGGTTTGAATATTACAATATTGTTGGATGACCACAATAAATGGACCTTTGAATCAGTGGGAAGAAAAAAAAAAAGAATTACATATTTTTATTCCTTTTCGGATTTGTATTTGGTTCCTCCTGGTCTACATCATTTTATTTCCTTTCAGTACAATAAAATCCAAATCATTAAATTACACACTCAAGTGCTTGGGTGGAAAGAATGTTGTGTGAAAAACATTTTGAAAAAAATTAACGCTGAATCCGACTCATAGCACACACTTGAGCAAGGAGCAATACAAGGTTTTGTTTTGCAAAACAATTAAGAAGAAAAATCTCTCTACAGTAAATTTGTTTTCAACTTTTCTCTCTCTCTCTCACTCTCTTTTGCTGGCTCGCTCTCTCTCTGAAGGAGAGACTTCTAATCCTCTGCTAATTAAAATGGGAACCCACATTAGAAGCTGTATTTAACACACCATTATTCCGTATCTGGTAAATGTCTGTATTTGACTCTGTGTAGCATTATACATTTTTGTACTTTGGCTCTTTAAAAAAAAAAAAAAAAGCAGTCTTGCTTTGGCATTTATTAGATGCAACCACTTTAATGTCTCTCATCCGAATGGGAAATGCCCGCATCTAAACCAAGCATGATCTTTTGCAAGCTTGTTAGCCGTTAAATGTCCCCTGTTTTCTAAAAATGTCACCCCTTTAACGATGCTCCTGAGGTGATATAAACAATTTACCATAACACAAGCAGATGGCACGAAGCAGTGGAAAATGGCAACGAGCAACCCGGTTCTTCTTACAAGACATTGCGTGATGTCAGGGTGCAGATAGCAAATGTCAAAGATGTTGAATTTGATCCTTGCTGCCAGCTGCACAATAGTGGCAGCGACTGCACTAATAGAGTCTCTGTCACGCTGGTTACCTTTTTCCTCAGCTTCTTCCTTCTGCTCGTTTTCCCACACAATAGCACACGTCCTTATTGTACCAATTCAAAGACGCACCACAGCGATAACAACAGACGAGATGAGAGTGAGACAGAGACTCAGGTGCCACAAATACTATTATTAAAGTAACACATTCCCCCCCTCCCCATTTTCTACCCTTTATTTTTTGTTGTCACTTTAATCACGCTTTTATTTTTGTGTCACTGGGTTTGTTTATGTACCTACAAATGTCAATCATGATTTTAATGATGATAGCTAGATAGCGATAGCTCACTAGCTCGAGAGAGAGAGAGAGAGAGAGAGAGAGAGAGAGAGAGAGAGAGAATGTCCCTTGAGTTTTCCCTTCCAAAAGATGACAACAATTTGTGTTGTGCACTGACTACCCAACCAACTTGTTGACTTGCTGTTTATTTTTCATTAACTCGTTTCACATGTCCTTCTTTATCATATGGCTGTTTTGAGCCTGTCAATAAAATACCTCTGTGAGTCCTGATTACAAAATGTACACATTACACATTGCATAATTAGGAGCATTTCAAGTCAGCCATCTTTGTAGAATTTCAGTGGTGAAACTGTCTCTTGAAATAATGATGTATGAAGTCCAAGCCTTAGAATGCAGGTGGTGGTCTCCAGCGTATGACTGCTGCCGTCTGATGTGTTACCCCTCGAACACACAGGCGCACAGCAGTCTCCAGAGTACATGCTGGACACAATCTAGAGTCAAGCATGAATTCAGAGGCTGACAGGCCAATTATCAGATGTACTCCTCGTTCTGCATCCCCACTTCTGAAGGGAAGCACATGTGAGAATCCTGTCACTTTCACTCAAGCCATTGCACTGGCAGGGCCCAATGACAAAAGGCGTAGCCTTCACCAAAGATCAGGATGGACAGTGTTGACAACCTCATGTTGCCACACTGTTTTATTGAGTGCACTTTTACATTTCCACGCTCGGGACATGTGACATATGTGCAGTGCTTCACCAATGTATTCAACCACCACCTAATGGAAGGTTTATGCACTCGCTCGAATTGTCCTTAAACTTTTCAAGAGAGTAAAATGTCCACAAGTCAACAGTGTGCAACGTTAGCTAGCGCGTCTGCTTCACATTCTGAGCTTTTGGGGAAGAATTTAGGCTCAGGCCTTCGTGTGTTGCATGTTCTCCCCGTGCCTTTGTGGATTTCTCTACCCCTGATCATCTAAAAACATGCAGATTAGGTTATTTGAAGAAAATTATGTCTGTCGATTGAGATTCGTATAGACTCATTTCCGCATATTAGCAAACGGGGACGCGCGCGCGCGCACACACGTCCTAATATGGCTGCGCCAGCACGTACCTACTTGCTATTCACGAACGGGGCCCGCCCATGATCACACGTTCGACAACTGATGAATGAACTTCAAACGCAAAATATTTACACAGTATTCTCTTTTACATTCGGAACAATGTAGATTACGTAACAACAGACAATAAATGAACTACTAGCCTGCAACATACCTGAAGACGGGGAGAAATCATCACGATCGTGATTACGTGCCGTTTCCTCAGCAGATTTGACGAGTGCGAAGAAACACTCCGGCGTTTGCCTGCCAGGTGCATGAAGACGCAAAGAATCGATCTCAGATTTCTCGATCACAAACTGTGAGGAGATCCCAGATAGACTCTGTCATTGGTGTGATTGGCAATGAATTAAAACAACAAAATAAACCTTTGAGCTTTCTTTACATTTTAAATGTTCATTTGTTTTTTTCCATATGAATAAAGTATTTGTCCTTTTTATCCTCAGCAGTACAGTATTAAATTTTTAATCTGAAAATTTCCTTCATATTTCAAATAATACATTTTTGTCGGACTGTAATGTTTTAACCTGTTACACTCGCAGTCTGCTGAAATGGTGTCAAGTTACCGTAAATGACGTGTTAGCTTATTAATTGCTTCAGTTTTCCACGTGTCAGGAAGCGATCAATGCACCATAGCTAATTTAATGAGCCATTTGCTGTGTCACAGTACATGCAGGTCCCCGTGAACAGATGCTTATTTTGACACGCTCAACTCAGCAGCTTTGTTTGTAGAGCACAAAACAACAACAAATTACAATAGAACACCTTTGTTGTCAAGTTCTATGGCGCAATGCAACAAAATTGAGCTCTTGAAAACATAAAAGACAACCAATAATAAAACAATGATGCTGACAAGCATATAGAACTAACTGCAGAACGAGGGTAAACGTTCTCATAAAGCTTTGTGATGAAACACAATGAAAGACGGACAGAGTGCTTTCGTTGATTCGATGTTGCAGTTGTTGAATTGTCTCGCCTAATGTATAAACTTTCTATTTCCTTTGTTGTACCGGCTCACTGGTGAACACGTTCAAATAAAAAGATGTACATGATGGTCAGCTTACAGCAGAGTTAGCTGGAGGAGCCATTTATTCAACTTTAAAAAGTCACACTTTGGGTGACACTTCCACCTTGAAAAGCACTAATGTGAATCTGCCCGTTACAATATATATATATATATATCCACATTAATACAATTTTGATGAATGAGGTTGCTTTCCCTCCAAATTTCATTGTGGTAGCTTGGAATAAATGTAAAACGGATGCTTGTATGCCTCCGAATCTTTCCACCGGAAGTCTCTCATGAGCTGCCGTGCACATAATCTATTGCACCGCTGATTGACTGGCTATCAGTCTAAGGTGCAGCTCATCTCTCGTCCAGATAGGCTCCAGCTCACCAATGAAAATGAAAGTGGCAGCAAGAACGTATTTCATGACGCTGGCTGGTCACAGAGACAGATCATGCTGCTGATAAACAGTCATGATCGTTGTCCACAATGAAAGCAAACTGTATATGAAATTTGTCCAATTAATTCCCACAGGAAATGGAATGCCTTAGCATTGATGATTTGTATCTTCTGTTTTTTTTTTTTTTTTTAATTTATAATTGGCTGCTCCGCAGGTGAACGTTGCTCCCACATGTGTCAGAGCCTTGACCAAGATGTTGTACTGCCCATACTGTCGAAGCATGCCCGGGCTCAAGCCCTGCAAAAACTACTGTCAAAACGTCATGAGAGGCTGTCTCGCAAACCAGGCTGACCTCGATCTCGAATGGAACACTTTTACCGGTGAGTCAATGACGAAATCTGTGCATCTGTTCCTCTTGTCTATCCGCGTGTACTTGCAAGTCATCAATGTTACTTTTTCATTGCTGCGTCTTGGAATTGTCTCTGTGGGAATTCCGTCTGATGTGCTGCATTTGGTTCTGCTCGGAAAGCTTTACGGAGACAAAACTAAGATCGGATTTGTTCAGCCGTTCCCTTGTTTTTTTGTTTTTTTTTGTTCCGTGTGCAACTGTGCAATGGTGTTTTCTATTGCAAGGACCCAGGCAGAGTGCTTATAGCCGGCTGTGGTCCCTGCTGTTTGGGATTGATAAAGCAGAGTAGATCCTAGGCAAACACATTTTCTGTCGAGTTTCCAGCAGCGCTTGGTGAGTAATCGAGCACTGCAGTTAGTCTGTAAGTAGCTGCGTGCTGAAAGCCTCACTCCTAAATGCATACAAAGGAGGCACATTGAATGTTCCCTCAAGATTTTTAATTTTTTTTCCCAGCTAATGCTTTTTTTCTCATGTACACCACGATCACATTAGCCGTTTCTTTTTTCGAATGAGTTCAATTCAAGACATGTCTGACGGCTGTATGTGAAGCAAAGTGTGCTTCTGAGCCACTCGCTGATTTGTGACAGGTTTGTACTCCAAAAAGCCACCAGACTGCAGAGCACGTGTTCTCTCGGGTGGCGTGTCTGAAGCCTCAGATCAACACGGGCCCCAGTGTACTGAATGAAATGTCTCTCTGCTTTATGACATCTGTTAAAAAGTTAGTGTCTTGTTCACTCGTGAAGAGGCAAATCCATCGCCGCAAAGGGACGTTGTTCCTGACACTAATGGGAAAAGCTGCTGTTCTAACAGAATTTTAAATCTGGTTAGACGAAAGGAACCCTTGAGATGCTTGTAAAAATGTATTGATTTTATTGCGCCCGGGTTTCATTGGGATACTGTTTTTTGTTTTTTTTGGGGGGGGGGGTTGCCTAGTTTGACTTTTCCTCTTCATTTTTGGACAACAACGAGAAGTGCAGTGGCCCACCAAATGTAAATTATGGCGCCGTGTTAAGTTTGTTGCTTTCTGAAGTTCAAATTCAAACGTTTATACTGTAAGATAATAAGAAGATCTTGGTATTGTTGTCTATTGTGTTGTTGCTGAAACAAGCATTCATACGCTATTACTGTTGTGCATCAAAAACGTTATTAGCAAACCTTGAAGCTGTTGCGCGACATATACAGAACCAACTTAATTAACCAACAAATTATTTGGCTTGTTTAGGGGCAGATTCATTTCCTCATCCCGAAAAAATGTTTGGCAGGACTCAAGACTGCGACCAAATTGGTTGCATATGTGACCAATTTTCCGCATGTACGAACAAGAATTTCATCTGGACGTAAATTCGAAAACAGAAGATTTGCCAGCGAGAGAAAAGTTGCTGAGGATGATTAACACGCATAACACATAATCATCTGCAACTGAAAATCAAGTACTTTTTTTCGGTGTACAATTACACACAAGAGATCTAGCGGCATAGCAGGTAGTGTTGTTTTTTTTTCCACTTTTGACACCGGTATGCAGGGTAATTGATATTCATATGTTCTGTTTTATGGGGAAAGTGCTGCAAGGCAAGGCAGCTTTATTTATATAGCGCATCCCATCCCATACAAAGGGTAACTCAATTTGTTTCGCACTATTAAGTACAACATTTTAAAGCATTTACGAGCAAAAGAGTTCAAGACATTAAAAAGTGAAGCAAAGAAACAAAAAGTAGCTTCCCTTCTGCAGAGGCTGTTGTCCGTCTTTGAAAGGACCGCTGTCTTTCTTTCTGACAATGTAATCAAAAATGTTTCTTTCTGTCTAGACAGCCAGTTACGTTCATAACAAAAAATAAATACATTTAGAGCGGGTTGTCCTTCGCCGTACATTTTATTGAAACTACGCACAGTCTGACAATTTGAAAGTCACTCATTCCAGAGTCCAGTCACGAAGGACAAATGGGATAGCCTTCGAAACAATTATTTTGACATTCTCTTCAAGCAATTCTTACTTTTGTCACTGGTTTCGCATTTTTAAGCGATAGCCAGACGCGATCACTTGCCAAAGACAAAACGGCATGCATGCATGACCCCTGTGAAATCAGAACGCCGGTACTGTTCAGTTGTCCGCCATATCATAAAAAGTCTTTGCCAGCTTAGAAACGAGCAGACGATGCGCATAAACCCGAAGGAGGCCGGACTTGACTTGCTTGTAAGTGTGCTATGCGTGCATGTGTGCGCGTATCCGGTGTGGGATACCGGAGCATCCGTCAGCTGCCACTGTGACAAATATAGCCAGCTCTGCATCGTGACGGACGCATCATCATCATTTGTCTTGTCAGCCCCTTGTTAAAATACCCTCAGAGAGACAAGATGAGGCATACTGCTGCTTTCCCCCCACCCACCCTCACTCACCGCATCAAAATCAGTTCTCTTTTTGACAGGCAAGCAGCATTGTCGAAAGAAGGTTATCAAGTGCCGTTGAGTTTTCTGTGTCATTTCCCCGCACTTGAATATACACAGGCTTAGACTCTGCTGGATTTAAATGACTTTTATCTTTTTGGATTGGCTAGGATTTCAATGCAGTTGAGAATGCAAAATTGCAATATTTACACGTGCGGAATGGTGGAGTTGCGCAGCACCGCCTATTAGCTTGCAGTACAGTACAGCCTATAGTACAACAACAAAAAAGAAACGGCAATTTGAGTCACTTTTTCTCGCACAGCTTTGAATACGAAATGTCGAGCCTTTGCCATCTTGCATGTTGCCTCTCGCACATGATTTTTCATCATTCGGATTTAGGAATGTGTTGCCCTCTGTTTAGTGACACTACAGTGAAAACAATCCTCATTGATTTCATTTGCTCATTCCTTTTTAATAGCATGGCGAGCTTCCAAATGTAACTTTACCTCTCCGCAACTCCCTCGATCCGGGGAACCAAACCCCCCCCCCCCCACCTCCCCTTTCTAACAAAGGCTCTCGGATGTGAACTTGTGAGGACAGACACACTCTCTGGGGCTTTATTTTAAATGATTCTTGGCAAGGGAGGCGCACACTCGACTTGATTGCACTATTGTATCAACACAATTAATATCTGCTCTCCCGGTGTGACTCCATTGTTATTGATATCGTTACATTACATTACTATTAATCGTCAAAACTACAAGGGGAACCACAGAGGGTTCATAATGATATCATAGAAGAATGAACATGCACAACGGTTGTTAGTTAAGAAACGGTTGGTTGGCATCACACATTCATCGAGTCGTCTTCCTCTATTTAAATTCTTCCATCCGTTCATCCATCCATCGTCTGCTAATCTGGAATTGTTGTTTTGGGGGCAGTCACGTAAACAGAGACGCTCAGACTTGCCTCTCCACAGCCGCTTTGTCTCACTAATCCGGGATCATCCCAAAATGTTCCGAGGCCAGCCAGGAGACTTTCTCCAGCATGTCCCGGCTCATCCGCGGGGCTCCAGAACACCTCCGACTCTACTCTGAGGCCCTCCCGGTTTCACTGAGCTTCTCACCCTTGAACCAGAGACGATAACGTCTGTCTATGAACATAGCTTTTTCATTCGCGCCGTGCCGCAAATGGAGAAGAAAAGAAAACGTATGGTGGCCTTCAATATGGTGAGCTCCATCACATTCGCGCCTGTTGCCAACGGCAATTTGTTACAGTGAGCGAACACGCAATTTAGTGTCCGTTATTTGATGTCTTAGTTGAACACGCCAATCTTAGCGGATCGTTTTGCAAGAGCGCGTGCAGTCCGTTCGAGTGACAAAGCAATCTGGCGCTCGCTTTTTGGGATCTTAGTATGTATTGATGAAAAGTGTCTGGAGCGATTTCAGGTGAATTTCACTCACTGTCAAGTTGTCTCTACACTAATAAAAATAAATGAAATCGTCTAGATCCAGATCAATTATTTAAAAAAAATGAAGCACGAGAGTCAGCTGGGTAATTTGTTTTCCGTGGATACCCGAATCACGTCACAAAGCATTAATGTGCGATGTTGTCATCGAGAACATTTCCTGAAGGAAGAAGCAATTACTGCTTGGTGTTGATTGGATTATATGCCCAAGTGATACCAACAGCATCTTCTTTTTTTTTGTTTTGTTTGTTTGTTTGTTTTTTTTGTTGGTGTTGAATTGAATTCATGACTGGAAGAAAAATTATGTCGACTGTCCAGGATTGCAGGACAGTTGGCTTTGTTTGGAGTGATATCATCAAGATTTACAATGCAGCTTCTAATGCAAAGATCAACAGCCTGACGTTGGATTTCATGTGTCTTTGTTTTCTTTTTGTTGTCTTTGGCGACAGATGCCATGTTGCTGGTGGCGGAGAGGCTGCAAGGACCTTTTCACATCGAAGCAGTCATAGAGCCGATTGACCTCAAGATTTCCGAGGCCATCATGACTATGCAGGACAACAACAAGATACTGTCAGCAAAGGTAAATTTCTCCACTACTTGTGTCTTCCACAATTCATGTCATGAAAAAAAAAAAATGAACACATTCCTGCTTTCCTTTTTTTTTCTTTTGTACTGGATGATTTGAAGCAGGGACATAAATCTCATTTTCAATCAGCTAATTTATTTTAATGTGCAGTACAAATGCCTTCGAGATTCGCTGTTAAATGAGATGACTTCTGTTTAACCTGCAAATATAGAAGCTAATTTATTCTTAAACCTCTTTCGGTTTCAAATGGCTCAGCCGTCTTTGGGATGGGAGAAAAAAAAAAGAAAAAAAATCAAAGCTGCAAATACAAAACTTCTCTTATCAAAAAGGCAAGCTTCATTTCAACTTTTACACTCCGGCGTACTTAAGCCCATCTCCCGGCTAGATTCACACAGGTCAGTATGAATAAGATGTCCCATTCTTCCCCATATCACAGCGGCTGCAATTTATAACTTTTAGCCGTTGTCTATGCACCCGAGGCAAGGTTGTGCTTGGCCGAAAGATTGCTCTGAGATTACGATGGCTCCAAAAATTCACATTGCATTGTATACCTCCATTCCGGTAGCATTGAGCTGTGGAAAAAAAAATTACTTTTTCCGTGTGATGCGCAAGATAAAAGAATCGTAATCGTGATGAAGGATTGATAAATATTTGACAAAAGACAGCTCTTGTCATAACAGTCGTATGCCGAATTGGGGGCCGAGCAGAGAGGCCACAAAGGCTGATGAGTTTTCGCTGTTTGAATTTGTTTGGATCCAAACACCCCCGCAGAGGCCGCGGCCTCAACACTTGTCAAGCAATCTGGTCTCACAAAGTGCCACGAAAAATTGATTATTGTCCGGTTCAAGGATTTATCGTTTTGCACTTCTTCTTTCTCTCCAGTATTGGAACTTTTTGCCTCACGTCCATGAGTCAAGAATTATTCATTTGGAGCGGTTTTCCTTCCAAGAGCTACATTCATTGATGCCTCGTTTTTTTTTTTCCTTCCCCAAGCAGAGCAGTAGGGTATTGCGATTATCATTTGAGAGTTACACTCCAATGATGTTGCACCATTAACAAAGCACATAACACAATTATCTATTCTCCCCTGACATGTAAATGCAAATGAGAATTCCCCAATCCAAACCATACGGTAGCAAACGACTTAACGAATCCTTTCAGATTCACTTTGGTTTCCTGTGCACTTATTGCAAGCAGTGTCTTTATGGACATGTTTTGAACTGAAGTTGTGTTGTATTATCTCTCACGTATGTCTCCCTCCTTTTAGTTTTTTCAGAATTGCGGTCCGCCAAAGGCTTCAGGCATAGGCAGGTCCGCACGTGGCATTTCAGATGTGTTCAGCGCCCGTTTCAGACCTTACCCTCCCGAGGAAAAGACAACCGCGGCCACGGAGACAAGCCTGGATCGATTGGTATGTGCTAGCGTGAGGTTATTATCCTCCTCTACACATTTAAGTGTCATTATTGCATTGATGTAGAATTGCACCACGTCCTATTGACAGGCGTTGCTGAAAATTAGCGTTTGTAAATCACAAGCGTAAATGCATCTGAAGCAAGCTGTAATGCAACCTACAACCGCTAAATTCATTTTCCTTTGGATAATGTAGTTTTTTAGATTATATATATATATATATATGTAAGAGGCTGAACTGGTTCTGCATTGTCTATGTTGATGTTGAAAGAAAATTTCTATTGTTGTGTGTTCACAAACTACTTCTTCTCGAGTCACTACGTATCATCAAATGATTCACACCCCACACCATTTATTTTGTGATTTCCTTGCTAGATTTTCTGTTTTGGTGCATTGTTTTCGCTTTTCTTAGTGCCGTTGAAGGTATAATTTATTTACGTTTTTCGGAGGCGGTCTTTGAACGCCCCTCGAGCCGAACCCGGAAGAGAGTACTCATTGTCAGAGAGAGACGCGTCTGTGTTTATCTCAGTTTTAAAGAATTAATAAAATGGATGTAAAAAAAAAAACAAACAAAAAAAACACTGCAGCTCTTTTTGTCGCAGAGCTGCAATATATATATATTTAATTTCACATGAATCATATCAGACGGCAATAGGTCTGATAATGTTTTCTCAGTTGAGTTGAGGTTGTCCGATCGATTTATTGAGTGGCACCATTTATCATGAAGGTCCGACAACGTGAGCATTTCTCTTATGATTCGTCCAATTAAATCTTTGTCTTCTTCATTTTTCTGCTGCTTCTGCTGCTGCTTCACCAAGAGGGCTGTCTGGATGGCAATGCAACACAGTGTAAGAATTCCATTCCTCTTACCTTCTTATTACCTTTGTGCACCTCACGCCGGGTCAGTGAGGCCAAAATCACATCTTTTGCCTTCTTTATATGTCGCTCGGTATGCCATCACTTCATAATTATTATGATTATTATTATTATTTTTAAACATCGCAATTGGACTCGTGGCTTACTTTGAGTTTGTTTCTATCATCCAACGTAGGGATCATTTATAACTGGAGAGAGATGAAGAAATATGCCAAGGTGCCGGCGCTTGTGAATCAGGGCTCGTGTTGGACCTCTTCCATTGACTAAGTTCATGACAAAAAATCTGGATTTAGTCCCTGTGTGCGGCACAGTTCTTGCCACCTGCTCCTCGGGGATGGGTTCAACGCAGAGGTCAAATCTCATTGTACATCCTTAATGAGAGAAATAAAGTACCTTTATTTTATCTTTTAAGTTAAAGCACAGCACTCTGGCAGTCAGGCGCCGGTTCTTAGAGGCGAGCAAGCGACAATCATTTGAGATTATACCACCTCTTATATTCAGCAGGAGCGTGGAAATGAATTAGGTCAGCCACATATCGAGTCGAGCCCCGACCATGGAGAGCGGCGGCACCCGAGTCGGGTCGTCGAGAGCCCCGATCCAGCCAACTTTTAGATGTCGCCATCCTCCAACACAACTGATTCAAATGATCAGCTCATCAACAAGCCTCGTGGAATCCTGTCCACGATTTCGATCATTGGATCAGGCTGGACGGGGGCTCTCGCGAACCCGACTCGGGCACCGCTGATGTATTGATTATGATTGGAATTGGACTTGAACGCATGAAACAAGTGCCCTTTCTTAACCTTGCCAATCGCATGATCTCACTTTCAGGCAGTTGAACTCATGAAATCTGATTTTGCACATGAGCCTTGTTTAAAATCCCAGGTGTTCATCTTGACAAAATTCAGCCGAATAAAATTGCTGCTCCACGGGCTTTAATTTTGACACGGAAAAGACACATTAGGAGTCGACCCATTCCACCAGGAGCAGTCTACACTTTAGGATGGCTTAATGGAAGAAATTGAGTGTAATATCCCTCATCATGTTCTCGCGAGTCTATAATCTCCTTAAGATAACAATCATTATGTTGTCATTTAGCTCGCTCGTGAAACAGAGACAATCTGTTGGAGCCCTTTCAGCGAGTAAACCTCTTTTGCCGAATGCCTGAAGCGACAAGGCGCTGCACATTTAGCTTTTTTCTCAAGTGTTTCCGTCAACGGGATGATAGTGGGGCCACGGATGTCAGTTCAGTGTGGCATTCAACCAACATGTTTACACAGTTACCCTGGAGGGAAATCCAATTCTGTGTGTGTGTGTGTGTGTGTGTGTGTGTGTGTGTGTGTGTGTGTGTGTGTGTGTGTGTGTGTGTGGGTGTCCCCCCCCCCCCCCTACTATAGC